GTTTACATAGTGAGACCCTGCCTAAAAAAAAAAAAAAAAAAAAATGAGCGGGAGAGATGGCTCAGTAGTTAAGAGCACTGGCTGTTCTTGCAAAGGACCAGGGTTTGATTCTCAGCACCCACATCATGACTAACAACCATCCAAAACTCCAGTTCCAGGGGATCCAGTGCTCTTTTCTAAACTTCCTGGGCATTGTACAAAACAGGTGCACTTTTACACATGCAGGCAATACACTAACACATATATAATAAAATAATAATTTTTTTTTTTTGGTCTTTTTGAGACAGTGTAGCCCCAGCTGTCCTGGAACTCACTATGTAGACCAGGCTGGCCTTGAACTCACAGAGATCCGCCCGCCTCTGCCTCCTGAGTGCTGGGATTAAAGGTGTGCACCACCACACCCGGCATAATAAATATTTTTAAAAGATGATTAATACTGCATTCTTTAATTTATCTGATAAAAAATTCCCTTGTATACAGCACACATTCAGATGTTATCCAGACTACAGAGCCAGCTAGAAAAAAAGAAAAAAAGGAGACATAATGATCATATCTGTCATAGTTAACTTCAACTTCAATGTGACACAAACCTAGGGTCACCTGGGAAGAGAGGCTCTCAGTTGAGGAATTCTCTCCATCAGATGGCTTATGGGCATGTCTGTGTCTTCTTGATTGCTGATGGATGTAGGAGGGCCCAGCCCGCAGTGGGCAGTGCCATCCTTTGGCAAGTAGGCCTGGGCTGTATAAGAAAGGGAGCTGAGGGGCTGGAGAGATGGCTCATTGGTTAAGAGCACTGGCTGCTCTTGCAGAGGACCTAGCTTCGTTCCTAGCACCCACATGGCAGCTAACAACCACTGGTAAACTCAGTTCTAAGGGATCCATCCTCTTCTGGCCTCATTGGATTTGCACACACATGGTACACTTACATACATGCTGGCAAAACACTCCTATACATAAAATAAATAGGTAAAGTTGCGGGCGTGTTGGCTCACACCTTTAATCCCAGCACTCGGGAGGCAGAGGCAGGCAGATCTCTGTGAGTTCAAGGACAGCCTGGTCTACATAGTGAGTTCTGGGACAGCTGGGGCTACAGGGAGACCCTGTCTCAAAAAGAACAAAAAACAAAACAAAACAAAAAAATAAATAGGTTAAAAAAATAAAAAAGAAAAGTAGCTGAGGCCAGGGGCACAAATCAGTAAACAGTGTTCCTTTGACTTTTACATTCTTTCCTTAGCCTGTTCCACAATGTTCCAAAAACCTTGGAAGGTGATATAGATGTCCCATTTAAGGCCAAGCACTCCATGGTCACTTATTCGCAGTACTTTAATCAGTTGTGATTTTCTGCATTAACTGCAGCCCACAGTAAAAAGAGGCTTGATCGAGTAAAGCTGGCAGTGGCACTGATCTATGGGGATAAACATGTTTATTTAGAAGGCAATTTGATGCGCACATTATGCCCATTTAGCAAAACACCCGCTGTAGCTTTCCCACTATAGCCTATGACCTCCTCCGCCAGTTTTTGACCAGGTTTACAGTACCAGGCATGAATTCCCTTTTATGGAACAGGCCTCAAACCCAATTAGAAAGCAGCTGGTTGCCCCTATGACTGATTTGCCACTGCTGTATCAGTGGCACATCTTGCTTGACAGGTCTTTAGGGTCCATAGCTGAGTGAGACTGTTGATGGCAATTCTCCCCCAGCTGCCTGCTTTGCACCTTCTGGTACTATGAAGGTTAACCAGAGATCTGACTGCCTCTGCCTCTTCCTCCTGAGGGCTTGGATTAAAGACATACACCATCATGTCCAGCCCAGAGTCTGAATGTCTGACTTCTTTCTTTAAAAAATAATTTACTTTTTAGTGGAGCATGGTGGCACCCACCTTTAATCCCAGCACTCGGGAGGCAGAGGCAGGCAGATCTCTGTGAGTTTGAGGCCAGCCTGGTCTCCATAACGAATTCAGGCCAGATAGGGCTACAGAGAGACCCTGTCTCAAAAAAGACCAAAAAAAAAAAAATTTACTTTTTATGTGTATGAGTGTTTTGCCTGCATATAAGTGCACTATGTGCATGCAGTACCTGTGCAAGCCAGAAGAGGGCACTGGATCCCCTGGAACTGGAGTTAAGGGCTGTTAGCTGCCATGTGGATGCTGGGAACCTAACCAATGTGCTTAACTGCTGAGCCATTTCTCCAGTCCCATGTCTGACTTATTTCTTTTTCTTTCTTTTTTTTTTGGTCTTTTTGAGACAAGCTCTCCCTGTAGCCGCAGCTGGCCTTGATTTGCTAATGGCGACCAGGCTGGCCTCAAACTCACAGAGTGCTGGGATTAAAGGCATGCACCACCATGCCTAGTTTATGTCTGACTTATTTCAATCAGATGTTTTTCAGGTACATACATGTTCTATAACAACTTCACTCTTTGAGGATGATAATATTCCACTGTATGTCTGTTGATGGACATTGCATCCTTTGGATATTATGAAAAAATGCTGCTATGAACATGAGTATGCAGATATATCTGTACTTGCTGTGTCATGTGATTGGTTGTCATATAGTTAACCTTTTGAAAAACTTCTAGAAAGTCTTCCACAGCAGCTACACCACTATGCATTTCCACCAGCAAAACATCAGAGTTGTTGGACATGATGGCACTTGCCTTTAGACCCAGTACTGGAGGCAGAGACAGGAGAATCTCTGTGAGTTAATGGCTAGCCTGGTCTACATAATGAGTTCCAAGTCAGCCAGGGCTACATAGTGAGATCCTATGTGAAAAACAAAAGAAAAAAAATCAATTTGCCATAGATGTATGGGTTTATCTCTGGGTTTCAGTTCTATTCCATTGGTCTGTTGTCCATCCATATGCCAGTACCACAGCGTTTTAACTGAAACTTTATTGTAAACAATCACTGCTGCTGTGAAAAGACAACCCCAATGTAAGTTTCAAACTATGTTTTTTTAAAAAAAATATCTTATTTATTTTTATTTCATGTGAGCAGAGGCAGGCTTCCTGGAGGGGAGGACCCTCCAAACATTAGGCACAGCATATGTAAAGGCCCTGAGCATCTAAGACAATAACAGATGAAGGACTGAGCCCAACTCATTGTGTTTTTAGACAGGGTCTTGTCTAACCCAGGCTGGCCTGAAACTCATTATATACCTCAGGCTAGCATCTACCTCCCCCTAGCCTCTTGGTTCCTGGGATTATAGGCATGTACCACCATGCTCAGCTTCACTGCGTTTTCAAAGTACAGCAAGGTACTGCCCTGGGGTGTCAACATCACTTGCCTTTACTGATTTCTATGTTCTATAACCCACCCCCATCATAATCTCAAGACCTATCACCTGCAGGGCCTTGAGGGATGCCCAGGGTTGCTCATTTTCTATTTCCCGAGGATGGCCAGATCTGTCTTCACTAGCTCATCAAGTTTAGTGATCTCACTTCACTTCACTTACTGAGGCAGGGTCTCCTGGGCCTTCTTCAGCATGCCACGGGTGAGGCTGGACCCAGTCAATCTGTCCCATCATTCCTCACCACAGCCTGCATCAGCAGAGCTCTGAACAGGAACTTTGCTGGAGGCAGTTTTATCACAGCTCCCTGCAAGCATGATTCACTGTCAAGTGTACCCAGAAGAAATGTCTGTGCTCCTCCAGAGGCTGTCCAAAAGAGAACCGTCAGGTGGGCTGTTGGCCAGCTCCAGCACCCACTCCATGAAGCCTCAGGCAAGCAAGCCTCTTGTCTCCTCTAAGCCAGGGCTCCAGCTAGACTAAGCTGCATCCTTTTTCTTTTGGAGTTTTTGAGACAGGGTTTCATATAGAACTGGCTGCTTGGAACTTGATATACAGACCAGGCTAGCCTAGAATTCAGAGATTAGACTGCCTGAGTGCTGGGATTAAAGGTGTACACCACCACACTTGGCTGTATCTTTAAAAAAATTTTTTTTGGGGGGGGGCTCTGGAGAGATGGAGCACTGGCTGCTCTTGCAGAGGACCCAGGTTTAATTCCCAGCAACCCACACGGCAGCTAACAACCATCCGAAACTCCAGTTCCAGGGGATCTGACGCCCTCCTCTGACCTCCACCAGCACTGCATGACAGGGTGCACGTGCATCTACCTACATGCAAACAATACACTCATACACATAATTTTTTTTTTTAAATTGGGGGGTGGTGGCTGGAGAAATGGTTCAGTGGTTAAGAGTACTGGCTGCACTTGCAGAGGACCCAGGTTTGATTCCCAACACCCACATGGCCCAAGAACCCTCTGGAACTGGAGTTTCAGAGAAATCTGATGCCCTCTTCTGACCTCCACGGGCATTGCAGGACATGGGTGCACTTACATATATGCAGGTCAAACACTCATACACGTATAATAAAAACAAATCAATTTTAAAAAAAACTTTTGAGTATATGGCCTGCATGTATGTAAGTGCACCTGTGTGTGCAATGCTCCCAAGAGGCCAGGGGAGGGCGTTAGATCAAGTTGTTAGCTGCCATGTGGGTGCTGGGAATTGAACCTGGGTCCTTTGCAAGAGCAACCAGTGCTCTTAATCGCTGAGCCACCTCTCCTGTCTCCTGCATCTTTTTTCTTAAAGGCCTAAAATTTGCAACCAACGGGGCCTCTAAAACTTGGTCCTCCAGTCCAGAAGCGCAGGGCTGGGTCTCCGCTTAGATGCTGGGGATTTGAACCCAGGGCCTCGCGCAAACTAAGCAAGAGTTCTACCTCAGTCTCTAGTCTGGGACTTAGAGCGCAGCCGGCGCCGGGTAGGCGATGAGAATCCTCCGCATTCATCCGAAGAGGGTCGAACGACCGGGTAGGGGAAGCCGCGGTACCGCTAGTCCCTGGCTGGCTGCTCTAGTTCCAGCTCTCCCCGGAGCACGCACTTGGTAGCGCCGGGGGAAATCCCCGCCGCCCTGACGTCACGGAGTCCCACAAGGCGCAGCTCCCGCCTGCTCAAGGGGGCGGAGCGCGCCGCGGCGCGGGACTCGGCGGCCATGGAGGGGCCCAGCGTCCCCAGCGTCCCCCGCGCGTCGGGCGCCCAGTGGAAGCGCCACATCGTGCGGCAGCTGCGGCAGCGGGACCGCACGCAGAAAGCCCTGTTCATGGAGCTGGTGCCCGCCTGTGAGTGCGCGCCGGGGACTCCGGGGATTGCGTCGGAGAAGACAGGGCTCCCGGGTCGGGGAGAGGGCTCGTCCCGCCGGCCTGTGGGGCCTGCCGCTTCCCGCCGGTCCTGCTGGGAACCCCCTGGACCCGTCACTGCCTCCCTGCGCTGGGCATCCTAGCTGGCCCCGCAGGCGCTTCTGCGCAGTAGCCTCCCTGGCAGTCCCCGGGGCTGGGCCTGGTCAGTCCCTTTAGTGCCCGAAGCTCAGTCAAGGCAGGCGGGCGTGTGCCGAGCAGCCACTTGTGAAACTGTCCCAGGCTCTGCTACCAAATGGGTTATCGGGTTCGTCCAACGCCTTGATGCCTAGATCGTAGCTCGAAGGGGCCTCAGTTTCACCCGGACGCGGCTTGGCCAGGAGGGGGCGTGGCAGTTCAAGTTGGGATCCACTGAGGCGCAGCTATGTTTCAACTCTGGTCAACTGTGATTTTATGTTTGGGGCAGAAAGTCTAACCACAGTCCCTGCTGCTGCTTCGTGGAGTTTGTTGATACACCTACACAAACGCGCTCTTGTCCCGGAACCTTCTAGGGGCTGGTCCTCTCTAAGGCTGTACCCTTCTATTTCCAGGCAGCCTCACTTCTCCAGTTGCTCTGATGGGTAGTGGAGCCATCCAGCTTGAGGAGGGGCCACCCCAGGACCTCCCCAGCTCCCAAGGGAGCTAGCTTAGACCAAAGTCATCTCTGAGGTCTTGGATAATTCATGTCCCTAACCTCAGATTTCTTTAAATTAGGCATACTGGGACCTCGTTTCAATGTGCTGGGGATGGTGGTGTTGAGAACTAGACCAGGCCCAGGAACCTCAGTCAAGGTGACAGTGGGCTGGGCTGGGTGCAGGCTGAGGGAAGTGCGATGCGGATCTAGGCCTGAGCTTATCCCCGCCCCCCAACCTGCCCAGTAACTCTTAAAAAAAAATAAGTGACTGGAAAGGGGTGTATGGGGGTGGCATTCTAAGGTCAAACCATCAAATTTAAGAAACTCTGTTGGATAAATACAAAAAGAACTTTCATTTTTGATCTGGGGGAACCTACTGGGGGAAGTTAGGATTACATCACTGCAAAGTAGAGCCCTTGGAGGGGAAGCGACTTACTTCTGAGGCCACAGGCAGGTGCAGTTTTGTTTGCTTCATTATGCTTTGGAGCCAGGCTTTTCCCCTGGCAGAGATGAGTTAATCCCAGCCCCCTTGCTTCCTTTTGAGGGTCCTTCAGTGTGTGGTACCCAGCCATTTCTGTCCCCAGCTGGGAGGTCCTTCTGTCCCTGGGAGAGCAAGTCCTCTTTCCTCTTTCCACAGGGGACGTCTGTGGGCCAATGCTGTGAAGAGTCTGTGCCAGGCATAAATATCCCATAGGAAGGAGCAGAGCCTAGCTCCCAGGAGGTTCCTCGGGCTCCTGCAGCCTTCCCAGCCAGAGGGAACTTTTATGCCAGGGGTCTGCTGATCACTATCTGTCTCTGCTTCAGGCTCACCCTCTTGTACCCCTAGATAACCATCTCCTAGAGAAGGCTGAGCTGCTAGCCAAGTTCTCAGAAAAGCTGAAGTGGGAGTCAAAGGATGTCACCCCCACTGCCCACCAGGGCTCCTGGTGAGTTTATTTGCCAGTGGTCACAATGGGCTGCTTGCACCTGGGCTAGCCCCCTCTCCTATGCTGTTCTCAGCCTTGGCACCTCAGCCTGTGGCTGCTGGGGTGAAAGGGGCAGAGACGCTCCTTGAGCCCTCCCCAAGCCAGCTGCTTAGACTCTTTCTCCTAACCCTTCTCTGTTTGCCTCTCCTCCAATCCTGTATGCCTGTTTTCCCCTGAGTCTTGCCACCTCTCTGCCCCTCATCTGATGCCTACCAAAAGGGTCTTGTTACTTATTCCAAAGAGGGAATGATGACAAGTGCAGGGAATGGGCTGGAGACAGAGCTGGAAGCAGATGGTTCTTTTGGGGGGGGTGGCAGAGTCTCATGTAGCCTAGGTTGGCCTTCATCTGGATATGTAGCTGACCTTCAACTCCTGATTCTCCTGCCTCTACCTCCCAGGTGTTGGGATTCCAGATGTATACTACAGCACCACACCCAGCTCTCTTTTTCATGTATATATGTTCACTTTTGTGGAGACCAGAGGTTCACAGCAGGGGTCTTCCTCAGTCACTCTCCACCTTAGTTTTTAGATAAGGTATTTCACTGAATCCATAGCTGGCTGATTTGTCAAGACTGGCTGGCCAGCAAGCCCCAAGAATCCTCCTGTCTCTACTTCCTCAGCTCTGGGATTTCAGGTGTACTGTGCCTGGATTTTTCTGTGGGTGCTAGGGATCAAACTCAGGTCCTTGTGCCCATGTGTCATGCACTTCACTGAATGAGCCATCTCTCCAGCCCCTAGCTCTCTTCTGACATAGGGTCTTGCTATATAGCCCAGGCTGAGCTTGAACTCAGAATCCTCCTGCCTAAGTCTCCTTTGTGTTGAGATAACAAGCAACAAGCCATTGTGCTAGAAGCTTCTTTTTTTAAAACAGGGTCTCCCTGAAGCCCCAGCTGGCCTGGAACTATGTAGACCAGGCTGGCCTGGAACTCAGAGAGATCCACCTGCCTCTGCCTCTGCTGGGTAAGGGGTACATCACCTTGCCTGGCTAGAAGGTACTTCCTGAGGAGGGTCACTAGCTTGGGAACCCAAGGTCTGGACTGTCCTAGAGCAGAGGGGTCACAGACAACTTATTTATGAGTTGTTCTTTGATTGGCTTCCACCTTCCCCTAGAGAAAGCTAATGGCTCCTCAAGCTTTTTATGTGGCACCCTTGGAGGGACACTTTGGGCACTGGGGACGGGGAATGGAAGGGCCATGAACACTATTGTGATTGGTTGGCAGGGAAGAGTCCTCAGGAACTGTGTCTGACCAAATTTTATCACCAGTCACCCTGAGGGTGAAATGGCAGGAGGAGGAGAAGGGGCTCCAGCTGGTGTGTGGTGAGGTAAGTAGGACTGGCTCTGAGAATGTTGGGGTGGGAAGACAGGGTCCACAGAAGCCAGTCAGTAAGTGTGTTTGCTATATTATCTCAGTCAATTCTCCATAACTTTATGGTTGCAGAGGAATATACTGGGGCTTAGAGAGGTGGACCATGGACTTGAACCTCTATCCACATAAATTTACTTTCTATGATTCTCCATTCTTTCAACAACTATTTGTTGACAATTGCTATACCCAAGGATCAGAGAGTACAGCCATAAATTAGACCTGGCTCCATGGGTTTCCATGGAGACTGTGATGAGCCAGTAATTACATGTCTAGTCATAGCATGCCTTGTCACCTGCCCAACACAGGGTGGGAATGAGTTATGAAGGTATTCGACGGCCTCTCCCTAGAGTGCTATGAGGTTGCATTCTGACAATGGTGTGACATTATCACATGCACAGATTTTTGTAACCCTCAGGATATTGCAGTGTTTAGTTACCACAGGACCTCTTTTCTTGCTATCCTTTTTCAGTCACACCCCAACATCCCTAATCCTTGGCAACCACTAAGCAGTTTTTCCACTCCTGTCTACCATGTGAATTTTGAAAAGTATCAGATACATTGAATAGTTTAAGTGAAAGCAAGTGACAGGTGAGGAAAGTGGAGATGGTGATCAGATTGCTCAGTGGTGAAAAGAATGATAGATGTTGTAACTGTGTCAGTTATGAAATTAGGTGCCCTGTCCTGTTTGTGCAGGGTTCCTCTCCAGGTCTCTCACATGGGGAGTTGTATCAAGGGAGTGAGCAGCCCCAGACTTCTCCTCAGTGCACCCTTCCCAGGCCCCATGGAGAAGGAACCAGGAACAGGTTAGCAACAAGAGCCCCTAGCTACTGTGATTTCCTGAGCCAGAGGTGCTTAGTCTGTGGTTCTCGGGTTCCTTTTGCCACACTGGTAGGCATAGCCTTGCCTCTCGATCTTTCTCCCTGGGTCTCAGCACTAAAAGCAGAGAATGGGGCTGCATCCCTGTGGCCTTCCCAGTTCTTGGCTCTCAATGAAGGAAGGCTGAGATACTGGTAGGTGTGTAGAGATGACCCTCAGCCTACGGCTCCAGGATTCAGTCTGGGTCCCGTTCCTATTCTTAGTCTTGTATGCCTGCGCAGGACAGTGGTGGGGGATGGGATGGGATGCCGTGTGTTGCAAGATGGGAAATAATGCTCACATCCCTTGACTGCTTGCTGTAGACCAGCACTTTACATGGAGTAAATGTAGTTAGGAGGCTTACATTCAAATATCAGCTCTGTCACTTAGCTGTGTGACTGGGCAAGATGCCTAACCTGTGCCAACATCTTCATGTGTAAAATGAAAATGACAGTGCTTCCGTTTGGCGTTATTATGGAGATTAAGAGTTAATATGTGTTGGCGCACACCTTTAATCCCAGCACTTGGGAAGCAGAAGCAGTTCAATCTCATGAGTTCAAGACCAGCCTGGTCTACATAGTGAGTTTCAGGCCAGCCAGGGCTACATAGTGAGACCCTGTCTCAAAAAAATAAAAATCACTGGCTGGAGAGATGGCTCAGTGGTTAAGAATACAGGCTACTCTTGCAGAAGAGACTAGGGTTGGACTCCCAGCCCCCACATGGTGGACAACAACCAGGAGTAACTCCAGTTCCAGGGGATCTGATGCCCTCTTCTGTCCTCTGTGGGCATTACCTGACACGAGTGCACTTATACACAAGCAAGTAATACACTCATACACATAAAATTTAAAGCTGGGCATGGTGGCGCACACCTTTAATCCTAGCACTTGGGAGGCAGAGGCAGGCGGATCTCTGTGAGTTCAAGGGCAGCCTGGTCTACATAGTGAGTTCCAGGACAGCTGGGGCTACAGGAAGACCCTGTCTCAAAAAGACCAAAAGAAAAAAAAGTAAGTCAAAACAAAACAAAAATCACATAGAAAAAACACGTAGAGTTGGGCGTGGTGGTTTAATCCCAGCCCCTGGAGGCAGAGGTAGGCGGATCACTGAGTTCAAGGCCAGCCTGGTCTACATAGTTCCAGGCCACCTGGGGCTACTGGGAGACCCTGCCTCAGGAAGACCAAAAAAAAAAAAAAAAAAAAAAAAAGTTAATCTGTAGAGAGTGCTTGGAACAGACAGGACCCATGTACATGCTAGCTACACCTCTGCCATTATTTTAAGTTCCTGGTAATAGTTCTGGGTTTCCTTGTGATCAGCTAAGCCCTTGAATTTCTATTGTACAGGTTAGGAAACAGAACAGATTCCTTTTGTTGCAGAGGTTAAATAACTAACGCAGGGTCACCGAGAACACGGGGGACACAGCTAAGATTCGCGGGTCAGATTCGCGAGCCCAGGGTCTGTCCACTGTCCCATGAAGCTGCAACGTTATGCAAGATCCAAACTGATCTAGCGTGGGCTTCCTAGTCAGGAAGGGGGAGGCGGCGCGGTGGCTGGCTCGGTCCACCCTACAGAGGCGCCGATGCCCACCTGTCCCGTCCCCCTGCCCCCAGATGGCCTACCAGGTGGTGGAGAAGGGCGCAGCCCTGGACACCCTGCAGTCACAGCTAGAGGAGCGGCAAGGCAGGTGAGGCAAGGGGGTCAGGACGATCTCTGCCCAAAGCGAGGGGGCTGTGTGGCACGGCCTGAGCGCGCACCCCGGACCTGGTGGGGGTCCGAGGACTCTCGGGGCCACCGCCGGCTGTCTCCTCATTGCAGGCTGGGGGCCTTGGAGGCCTGCGTGGTGCAGCTGCGGGAGGCGCGAACACAGCAAGCCCGGCAGCTGAAGGAACGGCTGGAACAAAACGCCGCTTTGCGGGAGGCCTATGAGGGGCTGCGCGCGAACGCAGTGCACGGGGAGGCGACATTGCGCAGGCTCCAGGAGGAGGCCCGCGACCTGCTAGATCTGCTAGTGCAGCGTAAGGCGCGCGCTGCTGCGGAGCGCAACCTGTGCAACGAGCGCCGTGAGAGGTGAGGGGGCAGGACCCCGCCCTTTTGAAGGATAGGTCACGCCTTTGGGAAGGAGTCTGGACTGCCTAGTTCAAAGGGAGGGATGAGGACCTACTCCTGGGGAGAAGAGACCGGCTCTGGCTGGAATACCCTACCTGCAAGGTGCGGCAATCCAGCCTTTAGGGTGCTTTTCTCCTGCCAGGGCCAACCAGGCTCTGGTGTCCCAGGAGCTGAAGAAGGCGGCTAAGCGGACCGTGAGCATCAGCGAGTAAGAACGGGGAGGGACCAGCGCTGATCCCTGTCTTGGGAGCTGCCCTGGGGTGTGCCCACGACTCCTTTCTATCCACGCCCCATTCTTGCTGGCCTCCAAGTGGCCACAGGTATACCTGAGTGCCTGTGTACACACCCGAGATCCCTGAGCACGTGCAAAGGTGTGTGGTCATGGGAGACAGTACATGGTCCCTAGCCGCTGGGAATTCAGCTCTTCACCCTGTCTAGTGCTGGGCAGAGAGGGGCTCGCCTTTTTTGGAATTCCTGAGCTTCATTTCTCTCCCAGGATTCCAAACACACTAGACGATGGTATCAGGGAGGAGACGGTGACACTGGCCCCTGCCGCTGAGCCGGAGTTCCCGGAGAGTGAGGCTTGTGGGACGTGGAAGAGGCCCTTCAGGTGAGCACCCAGCTGCTGTCCCACCTGAGCCAGGCCCCACCCAGAGGCTGCCAGTGTCTTCTGGGATCTTGGGGCCAGGTTTTGAGTTGGGGGAGGGTGCTCCGGGAGAGGCTGGTGTTGTACAGCCCTGTACTGGTTTGACCTCCAGTGCCTGGAGGCAGTATCGCCCCTTTCTCTCTTTCCCAGGACCTGGGCTCTGTGGGTAAGGTATAAGGCTTAGGAAAGGTTGTCACCAGGAAGAAATTGGACAAGACCCAAGGTTCAGCTGTCCCAGGCATGTGTATGTAAGCACAAGAGTGTGCGTGTGTGTGTGTGTGTGTGTGTGTGTGTGTGTGTGTGTGTACACACAGGGACATGGGCCCATGTGCGCAAGGTTGGTGAGCATACTTGAGTGTGAATGTGTGTCGATGTGTTCACATTTGGATCCCATTGGAGCTTGAATCTAACTGCTTCTCAGTCCCCATTACATCTTTTTTTTTTTTTTTTAAAGACAGTGTTCTTTGTAGCCCAGGCTGGCCTCAAATTCTCTGTGTAGTCAAGGATGATCTTGAACTCCTGAGCCTCCTGCCACTACCTTCCAAGGTTGGGACTCTAGGCATGCATCATCATGCTGGGCTTCCACTATATCTCGATTGGCCTGTCATTGGGCTGCTGCTCCTGCCTGTTTGCCAGCTTGGAGACTTTTCCTTTAAGTCTTTCCTGCAAGCTCCCATGTTCCAGCTCTAGGACAGTGAATGAGCAGGGGGATCCTGAAATTCTGGTCCTTAAAATTCTTGGCAGCCCTGGATAGATCCAGCCACCCCAGGATGGGGTGTCTGGGCATTTCTGGGGCTGCTCAGCAATTTCCCTGCCCACTATCCCAGACCTGTGCTTTCAGCCTGGGAGCACCTTCCTCTTCTTAGCCTTCCCCACAGGCCTGAGCTGTCTGTCTCTCAGGAGCTTTTGTTGGTGAGTGCTTGGGAAGTGAGGAACGTCCTACCATCTGGGTGAAGGCTTGGGGAAGCATTTATTGCCAAAGCTCTCCCTGCTCTCACCTTTCTGGGTGGGTTTGGTCTGTGTCATGCCTCTCCTGGTCTTCAAGGAGCCAAGTTGTTTCCTGTTTTGAGTGATCACAGACTCTTCCAGATCTCTAGCAAACTGTAGGAATCAGTGATTGTCTGCACAACCATGGGCCGGTCCCTTAGTCCGTCTCTCCATTCTGCCCCAGGTCTGCCTCGGCTACCTCTCTGACACTGTCCCGCTGTGTGGATGTGGTGAAGGGGCTGCTGGAGTAAGTGTGTGTGAAAATGTGTGTGAAACAGTTCGAGCCCCTTGTCAGGCTTTCTGAGCCCAGGCTTGGTCTGTCTATCCATATGGTGCCCCAACCCCCATCTGTATGCATGTCTTGTTGCATTCCAGAGGCAGGGGCTGGGTAGATGGCCTCATAACTCCTGCCAACTGTTTTCCAGGTTTACAATGTCTGTGCTTAACACAAGGTTCTTACAGGGGACTAAGAGTTCCAGCCTGAGGCTGGATGGGAACTCCTACTCAGTTGGGAAACTGAGGCTCAGAAATGTCCAATGTTTTTTTTCAGAATAACAGAGCCCATTAGGGGTAATGCCACGACTGAAACTATAGCCCCAACATTTCTCTGTACCTGCCACGCTGCCTCACACCTGCCTGTCTCAATGTACAGCCCTCATAGCTTCACAGGGGTCAGGCTGTGTTGTGGATCTTGCTCACTGTACCTTGGGACTATGTTCTGCTACCTGTCATGTCTGCTTCTTGTCGTTTCAGGAGAGCTCAAAGCCTTGTGCCAGCAGGCCTTGCTAAATACCTTTTTTTCCCACCCCTATAGTTTCAAGAAGAGGAGAGGTCACTCAGTTGGGGGTGCTCCTGAGCCCCGCTACCAAAGCATCCCTATGTGTGTGGCTGCCCAAATTCCTACCCAGGCTCAGGATGTCTTGGTAAGGAAGGAGCTGGGCCACATGCCTGGGGTGTTGATAAAGATTCTCAGGGAGGGGCTAGAGAAGCATTGGCTGTTCTTGAAGAGGACCCAGGTTTGGTTCCCAGCACCCATGTGATGGCTAACAGTCCTTAACTTCAGTTCCATGGGATCTAATGCCCTCTTTTGTCCTCCGTGGCATTGCATGACACAAGCGCATTTGCATACATGCAGGCAAAAACACGCATACACGTACAATTTAAAAATAGTAATTTAAAAAATACTCAGGGATGGCCCAAGTAGGCCCAGAAAATAAGGCTGGGCCTCAGCAGGAGGAGTTCGCCTGCAGCCTGTGGTGGGAACCACACAGGCATTTTACAGTGGGGTATAGACTACAAAGGGTGAGACAGGAGGCAGGCACCCAGCATGGGGTGTGGAGCAGCAGAGGTCTAGGCAGAGGTGGGAAGATCTGCTGGGGCTGTGTTTGACACTCAGGCTTTTTAGAGACCTAGGACAGGGTTGACAAGCCAGGAACAGGTATGAGAACTGTGAGTGGGCACAAAGAGGCATAAGTGGGGAAGACCCAGGGTACCAACCACACCTTTTTCTACAGGAAGCCCATCTCTCTGAGGTCAATGCTGTTTGTTTTGGCCCCAACAGCAGTCTCCTGGCCACTGGTGGGGCTGACCGCCTTATCCATCTCTGGAATGTTGTGGGAGGTAAGGGTTCCTTCTGGTAAGCCAACGCAGCACATTCTCTGCAGACCCCATTCTCAGTTTGCTCCTGGGAGGGCCATGGTCTTAAACTTGTTTTCCCCTGTAGAACGATCCAGTGAGCAGTGGCTAGAAACTGGGAAGGAAGGGGACTGAACTTGATGCTCTGAAGGAGCAGCTCCTTGGGCCCAGACCTGCAGGATGGGAAGGGCCAAGCCCAGATGCCGTCTATGGAGGGGGGGGGCAGGTAGGGACCCCTGAACCTGAGGGCCTACAGAGCCAGGTCTTGAGCAAGTCCCTGGGTCCACCAGGCCACCTTTTTAGTATCATTTGCGCTCCCATAAATTAATGAGGTGACCAGCATTGATTGTCCACTTTGTTCCAGGTCCTGTGCTCTGTGGCCATGTATTGGGGACTCAGCACTGGTCCTTGAAAGCTTCATAGAAGTCTGCTGTGTGACATAGGGACAGGCCCTCCTCTCTTGTCCGGTCTAGCACTGTAAACTGCCTAACTGCTGCTGGGGCTATGCCAGCCATTTGAAGAGATGAAGCTTCCATCCCAGGCCCCAAGACAGTTCCCACCTCCTGTCCTTTACTTCCTGCTATGTCTCAGTTCCTCTATTTCATAAGGCTCGTGATCTCACTTCACCACCCCTTTCCCTGCTCTATCAGGTCGCCTGGAGGCAAACCAGACCCTCGAAGGAGCTGGTGGCAGCATCACCAGTGTGGACTTTGATCCCTCAGTAAGGAGACTGCCCTGGTGGCATGGGTGTCACCTCAGTCTCCACACTAGGCAGTGGGGTTGGGCTCTGGGCCGAGGGCACATCCTGGGTATCTTAGAACCTGCCCTAGAAGAGCTACACTCACCTCCCTGTGTTGAGGACCAGCTGTCTGGCGTGAGGACCATTGCTGTTACCAGGCTTAGTGTGACCTAGCACCTTTCCTACTCTTCTCCAGGGAGCCCAGGTTTTGGCAGCTACTTACAACCAAGCTGCACAGCTCTGGAAGGTGGGAGAGACACAGTCCAAGGTGAGACTGGACTGGGGAGGTTGCTTAGGGGTCAAGAGTCATGCCTCAGGACTTGGAGGGTGGCTGTTATGGGGTCTTGGCTTAATCCATATCTGTGACGGGGACAGGAGACCCTGTCTGGACACAAGGACAAAGTGACAGCTGCCAAATTCAAGCTAACGAGGCACCAGGCAGTGACTGGGAGCCGAGACCGGACAGTGAAGGAGTGGGACCTTGGCCGTGCCTACTGTGAGGCCCAGTCCCACCTGCCCCCCCCCCTCCACAGCCCCCAGGCACAAGGGACCCTGCCTTCTCTGTGGGAGTGGCTCTGGGATTATATCCATTTGGGATCAAACTGTCCCCCACTCGTAATCTCGTCCTAATTTCTTGGTGACCTTGGGCTTTGGGTAGGTGAATTAGAGGTGGGGTGAGCCTTATCCTGGGAAGACCTAGGCTCCAATCTTAGGAGGACACTGCCTAGCTGGACCTTAGAGTCCCCACATTTAGTGGCTCCTAATGACTCTCTGAGACTCTAGACTCTGTCCATTGGCTCCCAGGTTCCAGAACCATCAATGTCCTTTCCTACTGTAATGATGTGGTGTGCGGGGACCATATCATCATCAGTGGCCACAACGACCAGAAGATCCGGTTCTGGGACAGCAGGTGACAGGCATGGGTTGTGGGTGGCAGAGGGCCTTGGGTGTTCATTCCTTTCTCTGGCTGTGGCAGGAAGGGTCATGGGATCTTGGAGAAATGAGGCTATGGTACTGGTATTGCCAGTGGGTGGTTTCTGCTGGGCATGGTTGTTGAGGATTCAGTGTGCCTGGGGCGCTGTGCCACCTTCTTAGTGGCTCTCAGGTCAGCACTTGGCTGTTTCTGGGCCTTATAACCAACATGGACAAACACCTTTTTCCATTTCATGACCATTTTTTAGTCAAAAACAAAAAAAAATAGTTGCTTTTTAAAGTTAAAATCTGGGGCTGGAGAGATGGCTCAGTGGTTAAGAGCACTGGCTGCTCTTGCAGAGGACCTGGGGTTGATTCCTAGCACCCACATGGCAGCTAACAACCATTTGTAACTTCAGTTCCAGGGGATCTGATGCCCTCTTCTGACCTCTGTGGGCATTGCACCACATTTGCGCACTTACATACATGCAGACAATATACTTGTGCATAGTAAAATATTTTTTTAGAAAAAGTCGAACTGGAGAGTTGGCTTAGTGGTTAAGGGCACTGGTTGCTCTTTAAGAGGACTCAGGTTCTATTCCCAGCACCCACATGGTGCTAACCATCTGTAACTTCAGTTCTAGGGGATCAGACACCCTCTTCTGACCTCCATGGGCATTGTACAACATGGGTGCACTTACACGCATGCAGGCAATACACTCATACACATAAGATAAAAATAATAAATTGTAAGTATTTTTTAAAAGTGAAAATCCAAGCTGGGTGTGGTGGCACATGCCTTTAATCCCAGCACTTGGGAGGCAGAGACAGGTGGATTTCTGAGGGTTCAAGGCCAGCCTGGTCTACATAGTGAGTTCCAGGACAGCTGGGGCTACAGGGAGACCTTGTCTTAAAAAGACCAAAAAAAACCATGGAACTCCAAGCATTAGGTCAGGCCCAAGTGGCTGACAAAAGCAGAGCTAGAGCCGCACAGGTCTGCAGCCTCTGTCTTCTGAGATTGCTCCTTTGCTGGGAATTGAACCCAGGGCCTTGTGTCTGCTGGGTGAATGCTCTACCACTGGTTCATTCTCAGCCCCTTTATATTCTTATTTTGAGACAAGGTCTCAATAACGTTGTCCAGGCTGGTCTTGAACTTAGGATTCTCCTGCCTTGGCTGTGGTTATAGGCCTGTGCCACCATACCTGGTTCTCACATTTTAAAAAAATGATTAAAACAAATTTTATGTGTTAAGGGTGTTTTGCCTACATGTATGTAAGTGCCCCACATGCGTGCAGTACCCACAAAAGCCAGAAGAGGGTGTCAGATCTTCTGGAACTGGAGTTACACCATGTGGGTGCTGAGACCCAAACTGGGGCCCTCTGCAAGAGCAGCAAGTGTTCTTAACTGCTGTGGCTCTCCTTTTTTTTTTTTTTTTTTTTTTGTCTTTTTGAGACAGGGTCTCCCTGTAGCCCCAGCTGGCCTGGAACTTACTATGTAGACCAGGCTGGCATTGAACTCACAGAGATCCACCTGCCTCTGCCTCCTGAGTGCTGGGATTAAAAGCATGCACCACCACACCTGGCCTGGCTCTCAAAATTTTAAAGACCATCATTTCACTGTTTCCCTAAGTGACCCAAGGCTCCTCAAGGCTCCAGCTCGCAAACCAAGGTCTCTCAAGTGGGAAGGAGGGTAGCTGCTTCAGCCCTAGGTATCCAGGTTCTGGGCACCCCTGGACTATGTTAGTAGGGAAAGTTGCCATACCAGCCTGCCAGGAGTGCCCTAGGAGGGTTTCATCCTCACCCCTTTCTGTTCCTGCTCCTTAGGGGCCCCCACTGTATCCAGGTCATCCCAGTGCAAGGCCGGGTCACCTCCCTGAGCCTCAGCCATGACCAGATGCATCTGCTCAGTTGTTCCCGAGACAATACACTCAAGGTCATCGACCTGCGTGTCAGCAATATCCGCCAGGTGTTCAGGTACCAGCCTGGGCCAACTGTGCCTTTCCTGTGCAAGGCCTTGGAGGGGTGAGTGTGGGGGATTGGTAGCCCCTCTAGACCAGGACCTGCCTAGGTGCTGGCCCTTTCTCATGTCTAGAAGCTGGACTCGCTCACTGTCAGCAACTTGGCTTCTTACCCCAGCCCTATCCATCCTCAGGGCAGATGGCTTCAAATGCGGTTCTGACTGGACCAAAGCTGTGTTCAGGTGTGTCTGGGAGGGCTTACCTGTCTAGCCCGTGTGTGTGTGTGTGTGTGTGTGTGTGTGTGTGTGTGTGTGTGTGTGTGTGTTTCCACACCTCTGAGCCCCTTTCTCTTGTTATGCTGTGACTGCTGCAGCCCTGACAGAAGCTATGCACTAGTAGGCTCCTCAAATGGAGCCCTGTACATCTGGGATGTGGACACTGGGAAACTGGAGAGCAGCCTGTGGGGACCCCACTGGTGAGTAGAAGACCACCTTGCCTGCCTACCAGGTTCTGACATGTCCCCCGTACATGTCCTTAGACCTTCCACATACACTTGGGCCCATCCTTACCACGGTCCCGGGAGCCTGTTTCATAGATGAGGAAATGGGTTCAGAGAGGTGCCTCAAACTGCCTAGGTTGGGTGGTGAGGGGCAGAGCCAGGCTGCAGGCCTGCTTGTGCTGCCTTCCTGAGACCTGTCCACCCTTCTTTTCAGTGCTGCTGTCAACGCCGTGGCCTGGTGCTTCTCTGGGAGCCATGTTGTGAGCGTGGACCAGGGCAGGAAGGTGGTGCTCTGGCACTAGGGCCATGACCCCTATGTGTGCTGGAGCTCTGGTCTGAAGCCAGAAGCAGCCAGCGAACAGCTTCCCTCTACTCAGGACTCCAGAGCTGGGGATGGAGCAGACTACAGACTGCTTCGGAAGAAGGCTTGGCAGGACCTGGCCTGTGTTTAAAATTGAGTGGGTTAGGGATTACAGATTAAAAAAATTTTTTTTTTCTTTACTTCCTTCAGAGTAGGGGGAAAAGCCCCAACTAGTCTGTGTCTGCTTGCCTCTTTGCAGCATTTGGGGGTACAGGGAGACCTAGGTTCAGCCTCTTCTCTCTATAGAGCTGGGGCTTTGCAGTGTAGGCTCTACCTGGAAGGTGGGCTGCTTCATGGAAAAGCATAAAGAAAGGCCAAGGCAGGGGCAGTAATGAGCAGCAATTCTTGGGGCCATGGAAGTGTGATTCTTGGTTTCCCATGGTTCTGAGACCAAACCAACCCAGTGGGCCCTCTGGCTCAGGTTCCAGGGTAGACCAAGGCTGAAGAGGGAGCAGGAGACGCAGCTCAGGAGGTGGTGGAAAGGGCTCTAATAAGCCAGAGTGATAACACAGTACTCACTACCCTAGGCCTGCCTGTAGACTGGGGCCCTGCCCTGACTGCCAGTCCCATGCTCTAGATGATCATGCGTGGCTGCTTCCTGCCACCATTTCCCTCCCCTGCATGTCACCTCTGCCCCTCACAGCACCAGACCCTTGGTATTCCTCTCCATCCCTGCTGCCAACACTCCCCCAGCCTTGTCCTCACCAGATGGCCAGAGTGGTTTTCTTTTATCTTTTTTTTTTTTGACAAGGTTATGCTATGTAGCCCTAGCTAGTCTGGTACAAGGGTAGACTCAGAACTTTTGGTAATCCTGCCTCAGATTCAGGCCTAGGGCATTTACATCCCATCATCACCCAGCTTCTAAGGTCTCATGGCCACATTCAACCTGCCCTTTGAGGTTCCCCTTCTGCTTTCAGAGACGTTTGGCTCTTGGGTCAGCACCCTGCTTAGTGTGTTTTATACTCCTTCTCTGTCTGGAATGTTCTTGTCTCTCACTGTGGCAATTCAAATTGTTTTTTTGGGATCCTCTACTGACAGCCCTGCCCTCACCTGCTGAGTTGGGAGAGGCCTCCTTGGTTTCCCACTCCCAGTTTGTCTTCTTTCATTAGTTGGGAGCAGCTCTAAGAGGAAAGAGTGAGAGCAGTATTCCTTGGGAACAGGCCTGGCTCAGAGAAACCACAGGAAATGCTTCCTAAGTGGTTATAATCTCTTGCTCAGTGAGTACAACAGTCTAAGGTTCCAGGAATAGAACGTAATCCTTCAGGTTAAGCTTTGTCCCAACTCTTCTGCCCAGTTCTCGATGGCCACCAGAGGTCACCAGCAGCCTTTCCCTACCTTCCTTCAGAGCTGGAAAGACCAACACCCAGTAGCCACCGTTTCTGAGGAGCCCTCAGGCCTCAGCCCTGCTGGGTGTTCTCTGCAGCATCATTTACTCCTCCAGACCGCCTGTGATGTCGCTATCACCTGTTCTACAGGTGAGAAGAGTGAGGCTTGAAGGTTGTCATTCAAGGTCACAGAGCTACTAACTAGTTAGGTGGTGACTGCGTCATGCCCTGCTTGCTGCCTTGAATTTTGAGACAAGGCCTCAAAAACTTACTTCTGTAGCTGAGGCTGACCTTGAACAGATTCTCCTGCCTGGACCTCCACCTCCCAAGGGCCACCATTGCAAGTGTGTACCACTAGCCCTGGTATGGTGCTGGGAATTGAACTCAGAGCTTCATTTATGCTAGGGAAGCAGGCTACCAGCTATGTCCCCAGCCCATACCCTCTTAAAATCTAGAGAGACAGGCTCCCACCTAGGCAGGGCTACAGGGTTCCTCCCCCAGGGGTACAGAAAGCTATACCTACTGACTTCAGACCTCTGGAATCTGTTCTCTTCCATCGTGGCCTGAGCTGAGGGTTAGTGTCTCTTTTAGTGAGACCATTAGAGTGAGAGAAATGTGGGTCCTGGAAAGCTGATGACAGCTGTGCTGAGGCAAGGTCCTCACTGAAGGTGTTTTTGTCACACATCACAGGATTGTAGTTGACGCTGCATTCAGATGACCCAGAAAATATGAATCACTCCTGGTGTTAGCCCCCCACCCCAGCTTTCCTTTACCTCTTGGGGGCAGTCTGTAGGGTGGAGCAGCCTCTGGAGAGAACACATGAATCACTTGGGAGGAGGTAGGGCCGGCAGGGAGAGACCCAGAGCAGAGGGTCCACCATGGAATGCTGCTTCCTGGGCCTTTTCAGCATAGGGGTGGAAGTGATTAATGGAGTTCATGCTCAGGGGCTACTTGAGTTTGGGTCGCTAATCAATGGCCTGTGTGTCATTGTATGCATGAGGGCCCGAGGGGGCAGGAGCTTACCTAGGGTCAGAAGAGGGTGGAAGGGGCTAGGGCTCAGTAGACTGCTTGTCTGCAGGTCCTGGATTCAACATCACATAAAACTGGGTGTTGTGAGCTGGAGAGATGGCTCAGTTGTTAAGAGCACTGGCTGCTCTTTCAGAGGACAGGTTCAGTTCCCAGCACCCACATGGTGGCTAACCACCATCTGTAACTCCAATTCCAGGGGATCTGACTCCCTCTTCAGTCCAGCTGTACATTATCTTGTTTGATCCTTCTGGATCTGAGGGAGTTTTTATCATCCCACTCCCACATTACAGATGAGAAAGGTGAAGGGCTGAGACTGAGGTCATGGCAGGCCAGGTCTTACAGGTCTTACCCAATTCTTTCCCTGCCCCTCACCAGTGTGTTTGGCACACAGTGTGGAAGGCCTGTGAACCATGCTCATGGGTTCTCTTCTGTTATGCTTCAGGGTAGCATTCCAAAAACATTCCCTGACTAGAGCTCTAAGGAACAGATATGAAGGAGTTCAGTGTTATTTTCGTGGCCACTGGGTCCAAGGGAAAATGGTCCAGGAACAAGATGCTCTTTGGTATTCCTGTGGTTCTTGGCACCTCATGCATTAACAAAGTAAACCCAGCAAGAGTCCAGGAGTAAACTTAACTGGTTATATCAAGTTGTGTAGGATTTTAGGACAAATTTCAATCCCTCTCTCCTCCACATACCAACTAAATAAACAGAAATTTAGAGCAGCCAGATACTATCATCAGGCTATTTGGAAAGAGCTGGGCAGAACCAAACCCCAAAGCTGTGGTTGCACTCCTTGGACAGTGTGTCTAGTGCAGTCTGGGGTGGCATCAAAATATGGAGCCTGACGGGTGCCTTATCCCTGAGGATGAGTCCAGGGACTTGGATTTTTAGTTTTTTGCCATCCCAAGAAATCCACGTCTGTTCTCAAACACTGGGCTTTTGTGTGGTGCCCTCACTTTGCATCTAAAATAACTGAATTACTCTAGAAGACTTGGATAAGCCCCTGGACATCACCTCCATTTCCTCCCTTTTAAAGTTGAAGTGGTGGAGCTGGGAGGGCCGTGGCAGGGTTAAAGTCAGATGACATCCTGCCACTCTGGCTTGTGAATATGAGCTCAGAGAGGCATGGAGGTGATGAGCAACTAGTCTATGGCTTGACTATATGGTCAGTTCCTGTGACAAAACCAGTCTGGGTGACACTGGGGTGGGGTGACTAGCTGAACTCTGGACCTGGTCTCAAGTGGTAGACTTGAAAGCTTGCTGCTTTCACTGTAGAAAATGCAAAAGATGGAAGTTGTCCTGACAGCCTTTTCCAGATTTATGGCACTTTATACCCTGCTCTTCCTGTGTGTTACTGTGGGACTAGGGGACTGCCAAGGACTCCAGGTCTGAAGATGAGGGCTCGGAAGGCTAAGAGATGATAGTGTGAAGCCCTGTGCTACAACTTCTGGATTTAGGCTTCTCAGGCTTCAAGACATGTGATTAGTCCTGGCTCAGATCTCATGTCCACGTTACTTCATATGCTGGTGGTAGAAATGCAAATGGATGCAATTCTTTTGGAGGCTAGTTTGGTAAACTCTAACACATTTAAATACATACTTTTCTGTCTCTCAAATTCCACATTTAGGAATTTGCTCAATACTTACAGTGGAACAAATTTATAAATAAGTATGTACAAAGATGTTAATTTCAAATTTCTAGAAGCAAATGGCTAGATATAACTTAAATGTCCTTCACTAAAGGAATGCTTAATTATATAGCCTAACAATAGAATATCATGCAGCTGTCAAAAATAATGACAAAATAATGGCTGGTGAGATGGCTCAGTGGCTAAAAGCACTCGTTGCACTAGCCTGATAACCTAAGATGAATTCCTAGAACCCAAGTAGAAAAGCAGGATGGAGTGGTATACATGTATAACTCAGCACACTATAAAATGGGAGGGAGGTCAAGCCTGTGGGCCAGCTAGTCTGGAGTACACAGCACAGCAGAAATGAGAGACCTGGCCAGCCTCAACAAAGTGGAAAGAGAAAACTGACTCAAAAATTGTCCTCTGACTTCTATACATATGTACCGTGGTACATACATACACACTGCACTCTCTCATTGCACACGCACACACACACACACACACACACACACACACACACACACACACACAATCACAACAAACTTTTTTTATTGAGACAAAGAGAAAAATGTCGTGTGCCTTGGTGTGCAGCTGTGATCCTAGCGTTCTTCGGACAAGATGGGAGGCAGAGACAGGAGAATCACCAGGAAGCTAGTGGGCTACTCAGCCTGAGGTACACAGTGCATCAGCAGAAACAAGAGCGACAAGGTGGAAGGTTCCACTGACTCTAGAAAGTTGTCCTCTGACCTCCGTGTGCCATAGTATGCGCATACACACACACACACACACACACACACACACACACACACACAATAACAAAACAATTTTTTTAAGTTGACAAAAAGATATAAAGTGAATAGAATGATGTAAACCTGAGAGGATCATATATCCTTGCTATTAATAAGCGGTGTATACACCTATGTGCAGAATGTGTGGGTCCCTCCACAGCCAGGCTGGGCTCTAGTCCTTGATGTGTGGTTGGCTGGAGGTCAGAGGAACTCAGCTTGTGAGAGCTCCTTCACAGAATTCATTAGGCTTCAGGCTGGAGATTTAGGAAAGAAGAGAGGCACCCTGAGAAATGACTTCCTGGAAGTGAGCAATCACATATTTCAGTGGCCCTTCTGTGTCCCCTCCTGCAGCACAATCAGAGCTCCTCAGTCACCAGCTTGTCTCATACTCCTGCCTCAAGTACAGACCCTGACTTTTTTTTTCCCCCTTGCTGGAAAAGAACCTTGAAAGCAAAGACCATTATGATTTACTCATCTCCAGTACCCAGATATCACATCAAGTACATGATGGCACCAGGGCCTCTCTTGCCTGGGTGGACTTTTTTCCTGCCCTCTGTATGTGATAAGTGATTTTAAGGACAGCCCAGGAGTGTTCTTGTAAGAAGCGTGTTTATCCATCTGCCTGCCTGCCTGCCTTTCTCTCCAAGTCTGTTTAACCAACTCTTTTTATAAGGACACTTGGAAAACTTAATTCCATTTTTTATTATTCAACATTTTATACATAATAAATACAAACTTTTTACAGCCACTGTAAAGAAAGCGCATCTGCACGGAGGCTCCCTCTGAGCCCCAATCTGTGCTTGGTGACGCTGGGTTATGCGTCCTGGAAGGAAGGGTTATTTTGTAAAAAGAAGGCATATTTTTACAACTTTGTTTTTTAAAATAAAATTAGCAGCTCTTCCAAAAATATGGTAAAACATAACAAAAGAGTTCAAATAACTCTGAGGTTGTGGAAAACTCAAATTCAAGAACAATTTGGCTAGCTAAAGAGAACATTAACTAGGTGGCAAGAACTGCTCTATTTAATAAGCATTCGAAGACCTGTAACATTGGCAAATTTAAAAATCTTTTAAAATCCACCCTTTTAATTTTTTTTTTTTTTGGTCTTTTTGAGGCAGGGTCTCCCTGTAGCCCCAGCTGACCTGGAACTCGCTACGTAGACCAGGCTGGCCTCGAACTCACAGAGATCCGCCTGGCTCTGCCTCCCAAGTGCTGGGATTAAAGGCATGTGCCACCACACTCAGCTATCCTTTTAATTTTTTAAACTTAAGAATAAGTTTGATAAACATAAAAGACCTCAAATAGATCAACAGATTAATAGATGCAAAAAAAAACCAAAAACCAAAAAACAAAAAACCCCAAATCAAAATCAAAACCCAGAGTCATGGAGGAGATTCATCAGAGGTGTCATTACTGAAGTGATTAAACAACTGAAATTTCTTCAGCTCTGACCTTAGCCAAAAATCCCATGGGGACATGTGATGAACATTTCAAGATTTTAAAGATTCTCAGGAGGGATGGAAATTTCAAAGCATCATACAACCTTTAAATTCTGTAAGCTGGATTTCTGAACCAAGGTGAAAGAGAAATGGAAAACATCTCTTAGTTCCCTAGGTCACCCAAACCTACTGTCCAAGTAGTGGAGAGACCCATGGACCCTGCTGGCACCATCACAGGGAACACCATGTGGGTCTCCTGTGACCTGAAGGAGGTACTGGTCTCCTGGGTCTTACCTGTGCAGTTGTGCAGTCCTCACTACTCTCCCAAAGGAAGTTAGTTTGCCCCAGGGCCCATAGGTTCTTTTCCTCAGGCAAGTCGGGGCAGTGGGACCTGAAGTTGCACTTTCCGAAGGTGACAGCTGATCTGCACCAACTACAACCTGGCTGTCAGCCAGTGCTCTGGCTTGGGAATAAAATAATGTAAGGGCCTTCCCAGCAGAGAAGCTCGGCAATGGAGGTCTGTGTTCTCAATTTACCCAGACACTTGAGTTCTAAGGGATACAGAAGAGAATTATGCTATAAAACTAAGAGGAAAAGAACATTAAAGTGGCTCGTTTCAGATCTGGAAGCTCCATTTCTGCTTTTGCCATAGCCTCCTTTCTACTAGTCTATGTGATGGGCAAGATGTGGCTACTAGTTCAGCCCCTCCAGGTTAGCCTCACTAATACTAAATGAATGGCATAAATATTAATACAAAGGACACTGTTATTGTTTTGAATCTGTTAGTTGTAGAAGAGATGTGTGTTAATGCAATTGGCGCTAAGCTCAGGCAGTCCACTTTCTTCCCAGTAAGGCTTCACTTTCAGTCTGGGGATAAAACTTGGGGAGGAGCCAGCCTCTCCTGAATCCCTCCTGTTTCCTTATGTAGCCAACATGATCTGATTAATACTTAATCAGATGAGGAAAAGCCACTTGAAGAAAGATGAAATCTTTGCCACAGCCTTGTGGCCACAGTAATATACTGTACGAGTGCACATGATCGGAAATTCTGAGTCTGTGCCCTGGAACCAGGCTGGCCTTGAGTCTCATATAAAAACAGGCCACTGTTAGGCATGAGAGCGGCTCCCCTCTCTGCTTCTAGGACCTGCTATGATTTGTGCTATGGTAGGAGAGATGACATAGAAAATGACAACAAAAAAGGCACAATCAGGCCAACCAGTCACATAGAAACCTTGGTTTTGCTCTGTTCAACAGTCATCATCATCATGCAAAGGTGCCTAAAAACAAGACTGGCCAAACTCCAAGCCTGGCCTTGATTGTAGCAGTAATGGACGTGAACCCATTGTCAAACCAGTGTGATCTCCACATCTTCCATTTTCTCCACTGGCCGTCTGTGGTTCTGTGTGGGTGGTGGGGGAGCTGCCCGGACCTGAGCAGGAGACAATGACAGGCTTGTTAGTCATCTTTGAGACTGAGCCTGAGGCATGGCAAACCCCAGTGCTCCCCTCTTTAAGGACACCAGCAGCTGAGGGTCTGCAGAATGTTCTCAGCAGCAATCCATGTGTTCTGCACTGTTCCCTACCCTGAGAAGCAGTGCTGTTCTGCATGAAATGGAAGATCAGATTGCTTCCTAGGCTGAAAATCTCATGAGCACAAGAGTCACTTGAGTCCTAAAACCCTTCTCCAAAGCAAAGGCCTAGAGCTGGCAGCAAGAGGACAAGGTGTTAAGAGCTGAACTGTATTACCACATCCTGAAGAAAAGCCAGGGGAGAGAAGGCTAAAGAGGTGGGCTGGCCTACTTGTGAAGAGCTTTGTTGAGTTACACTGAGAAACTTGGGATAGACAGGAAGTTGATGAATGCTTGTAATCAGAGGCCAACCTGGTTTACAGAGCATGTTCTAGGCCAGCCTGGGCTACATAGTGACTCTTGTATCAACAAAACAAAACAAACCACTGGGGACTGGGTATGTTATTCACTGGTAGAGAGTGCTTGCCTAGCAGACTCAAGGCCCTAGGAAAGAAAAAACAAATGGGCTTTATTGTATAAGCAGAGGTTTTGTTCTGAGAGTCTCCCAGGTAAATCCAGCAGGACCTGGTCATGGCTGACTTGTGGGGCTGGCGTCGGAGAGACAGGACCAGAGAGGCAGCAGGAATGATTCCAGGGCACCAGAAGGACAGGGTTTCCATTCACTCACACAGACAAGACAGAGAAGGGACATGTCCAAGAGGGAAAACACTTATTTTTGCAGAGTTTTCAGGGTTGGGATATTTAAGTTGAGATGCCCACCACTGTGAAGCTCAGGGGAGAGATGTAAATGTGCGAGTTGTCAGTATGGAAACGGTTCAAATTGCTATGGGAGTAGATGAGACCTTTTGGGAAGAGTAAGTTCAATGACTTCAACAGAAATAGCCTAGGGACAGAATCATGAGGATTACTGACAGAAATGGACAGAGAGACAGAGGATCTAGCAAATATCTATGAAAATGAAGACCGGAGAAGCAGAAGGTCAGACAGTGGTGAAGCAGCATGTGAGTTCCCTTTACTTCCTTTCACCCAGCTGCCACTGCCTGCTTCAGCCTCCTAGAGGCTCCCCACATCTGAGCATTATTATTATTTTTGGGTGGGGGGACACAAGGTCTCACTATTATATAGTCCAGGCTGATTTTTAAATTCAGGATCCTCTGACTCGGCTTCCTAAGTGCTGACATGACAGGCATGTGCCACCATCCCAGTCAGTACCAATGCTTTAACAATGCAAAACCAGGGACAGCCGGGCGTGGCGGCACACACCTTTAATTCCAGCAGATCTCTGTGAGTTCAAGGCCAGCCTGGTCTACATAGTGAGTTCCAGGTCAGCTGGGGCTACAGGGAGACCCTGTCTCAAGAAGACCAAAAAAAAAAAAACCTACTTAAAAATTTCTTAATTTAGTGGCATACACCTTTGATCTCAGCACTTTGGAGGCAGAGGCAGAATTTCTGTGAGACCGAGGCCAGCCTGGGATAGTCTACATAGTGAGTTCCAGGCCAACTGGGGCTATAGAGACCCTGTCTGAAAAAGAACAAAACATTTTTTCCCTTCATTTCAGTTATGCCACTGTAGTGTTCACATTTAAACACTGTACAGCTTTCCTCTGCTCTTACCCTAGCTCAGCGAGAAAGTTCCAGCGTACTGGATGAGTCACTCTATGGCCTTCCTTTCTATAGCTCTTATAACCTTCCCAAACCCTCCTGCAGATCTGTGACTAGAGGGACCATGGGAAAACATGCATTTTTCACTTTCAGTTTGGAAAATCTATGCAATCTATAACCCTGCCAGATAGGATACTTACAGGCCGTAGCTTGCCATATGAGGTGTCCGGAGTCTGCCTTGATGCCTGCGAGAATCCTGGCGATTCAGCATGGAGGCTGTTTTCTAAGGGAGACAATCCAAGAGGTTGTTGACTGAGCCATCAAGATGCCAGTGCAGATGCTTGCCCTGAGGGGGCAATCAGGTGGGCATCTGAAGGGCAAGCACCCAGGACTTACCATTTGCTGAAGGAGACCGGGGGAAGAACTGAGAGGTCCTCTTATCTGGGCTGGGGTAAGGACTGCTTGGAGGCTGGTCATACAATGGCAGCAGAGGCAGGGATGTGTGAGGCTTGGGGGATGGAGAGATCTACATTAAGGGAGGCAGGGTTACCAGGTGCTCACCTCAGGAAGGAGCGCTATGCTGCTTCACTGCTCAGCACACCCTCCCTTTCTCTGGAGCTGAGTTCTAACTGCTAAAACTTGTAAGCCTCAGAATAAATATCAAAGCTTCAATTTTGTCTTGCACTTAACATTTCCCCTCCCAGGTTTCATTATACTACTATTTTTAGTTCATCTTGAATATTCCCCAAGACAAACTGGTTCTTCTATTAGGTAAGCCAGTGAAGAACAAAATAGAGGCCAAATGGTGTCTGTGAGTATTAAATCACTGGCTAAGTTTCTGACTTCCCTAGGTTTCCTACATGGCAGGTGAAGCCATCATAGCTGCCATGCACATGTCTTACTCAGCAAACACATCCCTTACTCTTCCACCTGCTAGACCTGCTGGGAAAGCTCCGCAAAGAACATGACTCAAACTGATGGAATTCAGGGTTTCCTGTAAAAGCATGTTTCCCTGTGGTGAGTGAAGGTGAGCCACAGAGAGCTCTGGAAGAGCTTGGGCGAGGTAGGGCTTCTCATGGTGAGGGAGAAGGGGCCAGCTAGGAGCTGTACTGCAGAAGTTAGTCGGAGCCAATACATTCCCTCAACAGCTTCTTTCTCTCCAACAAACTCATCTTTGATGTGTTGTATAAATTTAGCAAATGAATGCGGAGAAAACAATGTGGGTGAATAGAGGTGTAATATGGTCAGTCTACACAAGTCTCTGACAAGTCTCTAGTTTCCCAAATTCCAAGTGCAGATACCTGGCAATCAAGGACTGGGATGAGGATGAGGCTGAGACTACAGCCCATTTTTGCTGGATCAGCAGATGCTATGAAGGGATTTTCTTGTGTGTGTGTGGGCAGTTTGTTTGAGAGCAATCAGACTGCTGGACTGCCTTTCAGGGAGCAGAGAAACAGCAACAAGCAAGGGTGGTCAGACATCTTTTATAGGTAGTTAGGTGGTTGGGTAGCTTTCCATGACGTAGGCTGGGCAGTGAATTGATTTTCTTTACCATCTTCTAAATCCAGCTCATGTACCTGAATCTCTCTCATCCATGGAGTGTCACCATTCTCTGAGGCTGAGAGTTCCTCCACTAGCACCGATGGGAAAACTCCAATTCGCCCATTGAACTCTCCTTCCCAGAAGCCATCATCATCTTGGTTTTCTTTGTTCAAGATGCGGATGATTGCTCCCTCAGGAAAAGACAACTCGTCGTCTGTCTGGCCCTCATAATCATAAAGTGCTTTCACAAAACAGACTGGGGAACAAGGGAGAGATAAAGCTGGTAAGAAGACAGACAGATGGACTGCTTCTGTTCTTGCTTTTGAGACAAGGTCTTACTCTGTAACCTAGGCTGGGCTAAAACTTGCAGCAATTCTCCTGCCTCAGCCTACCAAGTGCTACAATCGTACTGTACCCACCCTGTGCCCCTACGGCAACTAGAGAGCATCACACAGGACAGGAATAAGGCTGTAAGTTTTTACTCACAGATGTTCAATGCCATGGTTCTACTGAATAGGGTTAATATGATCAAATACAGGAAAATATAAGATATAAATGCTTTTAAACTGATGGAAGGCATACTCCCAGGTTCTAGGTTAGGTTAACTGTGACCAGATAAAGATTATCTTTTTTAGTCTTTACCACTGGCATCTCCATTGAGGCTGCCTGTAACAAGTTCTGCTTCTGTGGAATTGCTGGACGTGTGTGACCGACTGTCCAAAGCAGCCAAGGACTGCAGCATACTCAGTAGGCTGTTTGAGGTGGGAAACTGTAGGTATTTTTCTGGCACATATCCCACTTGGCCAACTTTATTTCGAGCCTGGGTAAAAGACATATGAAAACAACAGGTTTGTATACACAATTTGGACAGGGCATACCAAGAACTAAAATAAATGCCTGAAAAAGTCACAAGGGGCGATATGAGCAAAGGAATATACCTTTACCCAGTCTTCCATATCTCCATCTTCAATCACTTCTAACACCTCATGTTCCTCAATGGTCAACTCATCTGGTTGAGAAGCCTGCAATGTAGGATGGTCATGAACAAAATTAAAAAGGTTAGATAAGGAGCAGATGTGAGCTGGTCATAACAAAAGCTGGGGATAAAAATACTGAGATGATTTTGAGAAACAAAAATTTCAGTGTTGTAAAACTATCATAACGAGGTGAAGTTTTACTTTGGAAAACTAAGCAAAATAAAACTGCAACAGAAATTGGATCCTCAAGAGCGGAGTGCCATGGTGGAAGCAAAGACCTGGGGGTCAGCTTCAGCTCATTTATCTCTAAGTTACTCCACGTGATGACTCCATTTATTCAAAATGACAATCTTGCTATTCTCTGGAGGATGGTGGTCAAATGTGAGATGAATAAGCACAGAAGTAAGATGATCTGGGAAGCATCAATAAAGGAGAAGGCACTTGAATGGAACTGCTGCCAGAAGCTTTCATGGAGGTGCATGCAATGAAAATGCAAAGCACTGTGTACATGGATTAGAGTTTAGCTAGAGCAGTGTCTAGGCCTGATCTGGAATCGCTGTAAAATGGTAGCCCAAGAAGAAGTTTCTATCCAGGCAATGGCTGAGGTTGGGTTTTGTTCCAACTTGAGTGTGGAACCCGGGCTGATTCACAGGCCTATTTCTGTACTAGCCACAGTGGCTTTTCTGTCCCAGACAGTACCCACTACTACATCTACCCTTGAGACACATAGAACCTGGAGGAAACTCAAGAGGCTCTGTAGAGGGAGCACCACAGAGTGCCTTCCTGAAGAGCCTTGTCTGCCACATGTGACAGGTGTCTTCTGGTTCTCTAGTAAAAAGAAGCTTTCCCCTTGTCCCAAGATCAGTTAAAACAACCACATGAACCTGCATCATTTTTAAAACCTCACAACCTCAAAGTATAAAATATCTTCAAATTATACAAAGGGAAGATAAGAAAGTGAGTTATATGTTTTAATTTTTATTTCTTTGAGACAAGGTCTCATGTAGCCCAGGCTGGCTTCAAACTTGCTATTTAGTTGAGGATGTCCTTGAAGACCTTGAACTTCTGATCCTCTTGCCTCCATCTGAGCATTAGGATCACAGGTGTGCCATATCATACCTAGTGTTGAAAGTGAGCTACTCCCTAAGACTCATTTCTTAAACATTAAAATGTTTCATTATTACCCAGATTCTAGATGATGTCATAGCTCCTTGAGACAGCAACAGAACCGAAGATAGATGACCAATCAGAACACTCCCAGGCCAGATTTTAAGTAAATCACCTCTGACCTCAAAATAGAAAGAAAACTCCCACTCATTTAGTCTTTATATTTTTGCAGTGGAATTTTACTCTGAAGCTATACTATATGCCAGGCATGGTGAGACAACTCTATTCCAGCCTGAAATTTGCACACTTCTGCAATTTCAGGCTTAGGTGAGAGAGGATCAGAAGTTCCAGGCCAGCTTGGCTACAAAGAGAGATTCTGTTTCAAAAACAATAACAAAAATCCAAACCACCAACAAAACTATACTGTGCCTTGAACATACTAGCAAAAGGCACCTTTGTAATAAAGACATTTTCTTCATTATATGGCAAGACTTAACATCAATACAACCAGACATTAATATGTGTGAGGGCAAAGCAGGAGGAACAGAGCACCTTTAAATACATTGCTGCTCTTGTGACAAATCATGGATGTCTGTTGTGGGCTGTCCAGCTTTGCAACAGTAGTCATCCAACAGAAGCAAGCGCAGAGTGATGGCACGCAAGACCTACAGGGTTTGGTCCCTGTGGGCCTCTTGAAGCCTCGAACCAGAACACTTTTTCCTGTCCTCCGAGGACATGGTGCTTTTCCTTGCCTGTTTTTCCACACTGTTCTGTTTGGCATGCTCTGCTCTACCTTTCCTCTCTGATGACTAGGTTAGACTGCTGTGGGTGTAAATCCAGTTCAGTCTGTTTCTACGGGCAAGTGATCATAAATGTCTCTGAGCCTCAGGTCCCCGCCCCCAGTTTGCATGAGGGCAGAGATTTTTGTCTATTTTGACTAGTGCCATAGTCTAGAACCCAGAAAAAACACAGCTGGTACATGCAGGTATACATATGGTATTTGTTGAATGAATCAGATGTCTGACAGTCTTTTTCCTCATGGGGTTATTGAAGAGATTAGAAATAAGCAAAGAAAGGTCCTGTGGAGCGGGACTTATTACAGAGTAGCTCCTACTATTAGTATGATTTGTGCTCCAGCTCATATATTTTCTCAGAATACCCAAAATGAGCTACTTGGTTCTTTCCTCTTTTGTTCCCATAAGGCTTTGTGCATCTCTCAAACAGTGACTTCCACGGCACTCCAGTTAGTTGTCTTTGTGGGTTTCCTACAAGAATAACTTACTAAAGCAGGGACTTTGTTTCGTTTCTCATTCCGACTACAGACAGCAACTAGTTAGTAAATGGCTACTAAATACACTCATGGTCTTAATCCTGTCTTTTAAGTCCAAACATCCACTAATAACCAGAAATCCATTTGCATCTCTATTTTTTAAATTATTTTTATTTTATGTGTATGTGTGTATTGCCTGTACGTAGGCAAGTGCACCCGTGTCGTGCAGTGCCTGTGGAGGTCAGAAGAGGCTGTTGGATCCCCTGAGACTGGAGTTACGGACAGTTGTTAGCCGCCATATGGGTGCTGGGATTCAAACCCGAATCTTCTGCAAGAACAGCCAGTGTTCTTCTTAACTGCTGAGCCATCTCTCCAGCCCCCGCATCTCTATTTCTTCAAATTCTATGTATTTTGCTTTTAAACAGTATGCTTTTCCTGATTTTAAAAAGTCATGAATATTCATTGTAGAAAAGCTGGAAATGTGCACAGAGATCTTTGAAGTATATACAATTTGGCATTCATTTTTGTTTGATTATTTAATGTTTACTGTTTTCATATATGAAAATTTTACTAATGTATTTTAATGATTTTCATGGTTGTATGTTATGGCTAAGGTATATCAATGGCTAATTAACTATTATTCCCTTCTTGGACTGTCAATTTTGAGCTATTATAACATATATTAGGAATTAGGAGTACAGCTCAGTTGTACAGTGCTTGCCTAGCATGCATAAGGCCCTGGGAGCTGTTTAGAATCACTTGGACACTTAGGACTCTATTTTCTTTTGAGACAGAATCTCACTATGTAGCCCTGGGTGGCCTGGAACTCACTATGTAGACCAGGCTGGCCTTCAACTCACAGAGATACACCTGTTTCTGCCTCCCCTGAGTGCTTGGATTCAAACATCGAACCACCACACCCAGCCTAGAATGTGCTATTTATGTACCATAAATCTTAGCTTTGGAACTTTCAAGTAAATATAACAGTAAGAAGTAGTATCAGGAAATACTTTGAGCCTTAGTTTTATAACTTATAAGTCCTATTCAAGCATCTCACAAGATGATTTTAAAGTTTTAGATTATTAAAACAATTTACCTTGGAAAAAGTCTCAACCCTTTAAGAAAAGAAGTATTATGTATTAAAATACAGTGAATGGATGCTAGACCCTCCCCTATTGTCTCTGGCATTGGCTTCTCCTCCTATGTCTCCTCACAGTGGGGGCCAGGGGATTCATTCTCATGCCTTCCTTTACTCATTCTATAATATTTACTAGGCTCCTGGCATTGTCACAGGTGCTGAACACACACAGGCATGGTGTACAGTTTCTGCTTTTATGGACCATCAGTGGGGAGCCAGGCAAAGAAATATGAAAATAAGTAAGATTAAGTTTGGCAGGTCGTAAATACTATCCAATTATGTGTTGCATGATGACATTCTGGTCAACAATGTGCTGCCTATATGCAGCGATCCTATAAGATTATGGTGAAAGCCAGGCATGGTAGTGTATATCTGTAATCTAAGCACTTTGGAGGCTGAGGCAGGAGGACCACCACAAGTTTGAAGGTAGCATAGACTAAAGGGTAAGGCCCTGTCTTAAAAATGAAATTATAATGGAGTCCAAAACTTTCTGTCACCTAATGATGTTGTAGCCATCATGTCACAGTGCAACACACTACTCACACTTGTGGTAATGCTGGTGTACACAAACCTGTGCTGCCAGTCATAAAGAGTGTGACATAGACACTTATGTGTAGTATATAATACTTGATAATAAGTGGCTATGTCACTGGCCTATGAATTTACTGTACTATTTCTTATTTTTATTTAGTTTTTGCAACTCTCTGTGTAACCTAGGCTGGCTTCAAACTCCCAGTCCTCCTGCCTCCACTCCCTGAGTGCAAGGATTAGAGATGTGCTACCACATTCTGCTCACTGTTACATTACAGTATACTCCTCTTACTTACAACAAAACATTTACAGTAGATCTGGGTGTGGAGGTAAACACCTGTAATCTCAGCACTTGGGAGGTAGAGAAGTTGATTGATTGAATCATCAAGATGATTCTCAGCTACATCTTAAGTTTGGGTTCAAAGCGGGACCCTTTCTCAAAAAAAGTTTACTGTACAACACTGTGCTGGCTGACGGCAGCCTTGTACATGTCATGTTTATTCTGTCTTGATGGCATCATTTTCTCTTGTGCTTGATTTAGTCACATGGTGCCTTGTTCATCACAGCCTAATGGGCAATAGTAATACATACATGCCACACAGCCCAGTGAGCAGCAGTTCTACCATCAGGCTATAGAAGCTCACTCTGTGATGTCAGCATAATGCTGGAATTACTTATAGTGTTGTATTCCTCAGAACGAATTCTCACTGTTAAGCAGTGCATGACTATTTAGAGTAAATAAAAGAGGGCAATGGGTCAGAGTAGTGACTGAGGAGTTGGCTATATGCTTATGGAGACTTTAGGAGGGACTTTTAAAATTATATGTGTATCTCTGTGTATGGGTGTGTACACATGAATGCAGTTACCCTTGATGCCAAAGGCATCAGATCCCCTGGGATTAGAGTCACAGTGGCCAGCCACCCACCATTTGGGCGCCAGTAGTGGGGACTCAGGTTTGCTTTGCTTAGCGGGGGGCCTGCTGGCTTCGGGCCAGAGGGTCTGATCGGCGACAGAGTCAAACTCTGGGACCTGTGTCTTCCCAGGACCTGTGTCTTCCCAACAGGCCAATTTATTTTAAAATTCAGGTGGTTTTTATACAGCCCAAGGAATTAGCAGTCACGTGGGATATGGCAGTCACATACAAAGATTTTAGGGTACAAAGAAACAGGACATTTAGTCTGTTGGTGCCAGAAGGATTCTTAAATTTTTACTCAAGGTTATCAATGCCCATCCAGTAATTTATTGGCCACAATGTTTTCTTTCTTAAAAGCATGGTAAACTTTTAGCTTTTAGCTCAGGAGTAAACCTTTGACCTGGCCTAATCTCTTAGCCAGGGATAGCTGAGTTATTTGTTTAGGACAAGGAGATGAGCTAAGGGTTGTTGACCAAGACGCTTTCCCACAGAGCAGGGAGCCTGCACTTTTATGACCAGGCCGCTTCCTCCTGCCAGCCCAACAGTGTTTTGCAAGGCAGGGATTATCAGAGCCACTGTTTTCAGTGCCCCTCCCTTTAGCAGAGAATGCAGCCTGGACCTATAAGTTTTAGGTTCACCTCACCCTAGGGCCTGGCATCCTGGTTTCCTACAGGTGTGTGCACATGAATGCAGTTACCCTTGATACCAAAGGCATCAGATCCCCTGGGATTGGAGTCACAGTGGCCAGCCACCCACCGTGGATGCTGGGAACTGAACTAGGGTCCTCTGCAAGAGCAGCATGTGCTCTTAACCGCTAAGCCACCTCTTCAGCCCAGGACACAAAAGTACTCTCTTGCTAGGTCAGATTCAGAACAAATTTTGGAGGTGGACTCAACAGGACTGGCTAATGGGTATTAAGGGTAGGTAGAGAAAGAACAACTGGGAAATTAAAACTAAGTTGACTTAGGGCTGTGTAAAGATTGATAGAAAATAGCTGGGTATAGTGGTGCATGCCTGTAATAACAACAGCAGGGAAATGAGAACATCAGATCACGAGTTTGATGCCAGCCTGGGCTACACAACAGGAGTGAGTTCAAGGCTATCATAGGATTCTGAGTGAGATTCTGTCTCAAAAAGCCTTTTTAAAAAGTTAATGGAGCTGGGCATGGTGATGCATGCCTTTAATCCCAGCACTTGGGAGACAGAGGCAGGCAGGATCTTTGTGAGTTCAAGGCCAGCCTGGTCTACACAGTGAGTTCCAGGACAGCTGGGGCTACAGGGAGACCCTGTCTCAAAAAGACAAAAAAAGTTAATGGAAAATGAAGGCAGAAGTGAGAAAGATTAAAAGCTAGTATACCAAGCCAGATTTGGAAATTGTGGATCTAAGTCCTTGCTTCACATGGCTAGCAAGGGATGGCTATATTAGGATGAGGAAAGGCAAAGTTCTAAAAACTACTCTGTAAAAAATTTTCCTTTGGTATCAATCTTGAGGGTCATCCTAATGGAGAGTCTATGTCAAGCAGCGTGTGGGCTCTTGTGAGTGAAAACTGAGGGGATGCTCAGTGCTTTGCTTTGGAAGTTATTTTTTACCTGGTCTTCACAGTAAGCCTAAAGTATTGTCCTATGATAAAGATTTAAAAACAGGTTTACAGACTATGTAAGGATGGAAAGCTAGAAGCAGCAGAGACAGGATTTTAATCTGAGCATTGGATGCTAGAGCCTAAACTCTTCACCACTGTTATGTTGCTTCTGCTATTTTCCAAACAACTTTATGCCAGGCACAGCATGAGCAGACATAGTCAGCCCCAGATTTATCACCATTTTTCTAACACTGATATATTGGAAAACACAAACCTTGTAGGAATAAACAACCTTGCACGTGAGTGGATAATTTCTTAAGGTGCCAGAAGGGCTGGAACTGCTGTCATCAAAAACATCCATATTGTCTTCAAGTTCTTCTCCTTCTTCTCTTTCCGTATCTGCAGTAAGCTAGGAAAAATTAGAAGCCATTGGTTAGTTTGCTTATTTCATAAAAATGGTAGAAAACAGGAAAAATATTTAAAATCTAACTGCTTCAAAATATTAATTCATTTATTCAATTGCACACAGAAATGATTACTCTCACTTGCATTTTTCATATTATAAAAGACAAGAGAATTATTTTAATTTTAAGGAATTTTATTTTTATTTTGTGTGTATGAGTGTATTACCTGCCTGTATGCAAATGCATTTGTGTCATGCAATGCCATGGAGGACAAAAGAGGGTGTTAGATCCCCTGGAACTGCAGTTAGTGATGGTTGTTAGCTGCCATGTGGGTGCTGGGAACCAATTCCCAGTTCTCTGCAAGAGTAGCCAGTGCTCTTAAAAGTTGAGCCATCTGTCTAGACCCAAGAGAATTATATTTAATCAAAAGTAAAATGCTGGGGCTGGAGAGATGGCTCAGTGGTTAAGAGCACTGACTGCTCTTGCAGAGGACCCAGGTTCAATTCCCAGCACCCACATGGTGGCTAACAACTGGCCTAACACTAGTTCCAGGGGATCCGACACCTTCTTCTGATCTTTACGAGCACTGCATGACAGATGTACTTACACACATGCAAGCAATATACTCATGCACATAAAAAAAAAAAAGTAAAATGCTGGGGTTGGGCATGGTGATGCATGCTTTTAATCCCAGCACTCAGGAGGCAGAGGCAGGTGGATCTTGGTGAAACTGAGGCCAGCCTGTTCTACATAATGAGTTCCAAGTCATCAGCTGGGGCTATAGAGAGACTCTGACTTAAAAAAAAAAAAAGTTAAATACTAAGTTGAGGGTTTTGTGAAAGTACTTGCCATGCAAACCTGATGACCTGAGTTTGATCAGCAGATCCCATGGTGGAGAGAACTGGCTTCCCAAAGATTGTCCTCTGACCTCCATATACACACGATGGCATATTTGTGCTACTCCCCATGCAATAATGATAAATAAAATAAAATAATTTAAAATATGGCTAAAGAGCTGGGCTGGGTTGGGCTGGGCATAAAAAAATGTAAAATGTTTTAGTGGTGCATACATGTAATCTAAGTATTTGGGAGATGGAGGCTGGAGGGTTGGAATTCAAGAGCTTCAGCTACACAGACCCTGTCACACAACCAACCAACCTACCCTTTCAAATATATAGGAAGTAGTTTATCACTATTCTTTCCCTTTTTGCTGTTAAATGCTAACTGACAAAAGCTTCTTACCATTTTTAACTGATAACATGAAAAAACATTAAAGATTCCTACATGCTACCAAGATGCAAGAAACAGTCTTTTATCTGTGGCAGGTAGAAATGTAAATCCACACAGTTTTTAGAAAATATACTGCCTACTGCAGTGCTCAAACCATGACCTACAGTAGAATTAAGATGGAGTGTTCTGTTAGTGATAGACATTGGAGAATCTTAAATAACAATAGGAGTATGTTTATCACTTTAAAAAAGAAAATATACTGCCTAAAACTAAAACATAACAAATTCATCTAGTAGTTCCAATTTTGTGACTGTCTCGCAGAAAAATAAAAGTACTGTAAGACTATTTTCTAAAATGTTCACTGTAATACTGCATGTAGTAGCAAAACCCTGGACACAAGCTATCTGCCCTTCAACAGGGGAATATTTAAATAATCTATATTACAGATAAATACCATCCATCACAAATGAGTCAGGGAGAGGCTAGACAGATGGTTTAGTGGTTAAGAATTTGTTCTGCTCTTCTAGAGGATAGGAGTTTGGTTCCCAGCACCCATATAGGGAAGTTCACAACCACCTGTAACTTCAGCTCCAGGAGATGACATCTTCTTCTGGACTCTGTGGGCACTTGTGTATACATAACCCACCCACATATATACATAATTCAAAATTAGAATTTTTAAAAATGTTCAGAGAGGGAGGATGAAATGGCTCTAAGGGTAAAGGCATTTGCTACTAAACCTGATGACCTGAGTTTGATCACATGGTGGTAGGACAGAAGTTGTTCTGCAAGTTGTCCTCTGGCCTTCACACACACACACACACACACCATGGTGCCTGTGCCCACCCAAATAAATAAGCATAAAAAGTTAAGGAACAGAAAGCTCAGAGATAAAGTAGAAGGGAGATCCTGAGGAGGGAACAAGAGGTTCAGGCGTAGGGTACAGAAGGGGGTGGTAGGGATGGTAACAAGTCATTATGATAATATGTACATGAAAATGTCAGAATGAAACCTAGTATTTTGTATGGTAACTAAAAATATATTACTACTAATAAAAAGGAAAGCTCAGAAATAAATCCTCACATATATGGCTAAATTATTTTCAACAAAGGTACTAGGACCATTCAATGGACAAAGACCAGTTTTTCAAGAACTACAGCTAGGAAAACTAGAAATTCACATGCAAAAAAAATCTTACCTTACATCATAAACAGAAATCAACTCAAATGGATTACAGACCTAAACATAAGAGCTAAAATGTTACCTGTATATGATGACACACACTGTAATCTCAGGTCCCAGCACCTGGGAGCTGAGGCAGCAGGACCATGAGTTTGAGGCCAGCCTGGGCTAGAAAGTGGTTTTAGTGTAAGAGAGACCTTCTATCTTAACAAAAAAAAAGCAGCTAAAATTATTAAACTCTTAGAAGAAAACATGAAGAAAAAACTTCAAAATAATGAATTTGGCAATAATTTCTTAGATATTACACAGAATCATACACAATAAGAATAAAAAGATTATCACAGGATAAGAGTGACAAGGCAACCCAAAGAATGAGAGGAAATACATGAAAAATCATACATCTGATAAGAAATTGATATTTGGGATGTATAAAGACTCAACAAAAAGACACAACTAAAAATGTTTAAAAATAGGCAGAAGACCTGAACAGGCATTTCTCCAAAGAAGAGACATAAACAGCTAACAAGTACATGAAAAGAGTTCATTATCACTACTCATTAGGAAAATGCAAGCCAGACCAAAATGAGGGGCTGGGATACAGCTTGCCTGGACTGCACGATTCCATCCTAGCACCGAACTAGTGTGGTGGTGCATGCTTGTAATTCTACACTCAGGGGGATCAGAAGTTCAAGGTTTGATTATTTTTATATTTACTTAACTATTTATGTATGTATGTATGTATGTATGTATGTATTATTTATTATTTGCCACATGGTAAATTTGAGGCCAGAATGGGGTACAAGAAACTGTGTCAAAAACAAAACCAACCAACCTGCTTGCCCCACAATGAAGCCAGGTGTGGTGGATCATGTCCAATGCTCAGGAGACTGAGGGAGGAGAACTGCATTCACTTTTAGGCTAGCATGGGTTACAGAGTGAGACTGGGAGGTGCATGGCTGTAATCTCAGCACCTGGGAGGTGAAGGCAGGATGATCAGGAGTTCAAGGGCATTGTTGGATATATAATGAATTCAAGGCCAGCCTGAGCTACATGAAACCCCAAAACAGTTAAACAAGTAAGCAACAACCCCCAAACCAAACATAAATAATAAAAAATAAACCAAAACCCAACAATGAGATACTATTTCATATTCATTAGGCTCTTCATCAACAAGAAAACAGAAAAGACTGCCAGTATAGATGCAGAAAAACTGGAATCCTTTACAGTCCTACAGTAGTAGGACTGTAAAATGGCACAGCTGCTATGGAAAACAGCATGATGTTCCCTCAATAAATTAAAGATAGAATTACATAAAATCCAGAAATTCCCCTGGGTATACATACCTAAAAGAACTGAAAGCGTGGACTTGAACAGATGTTTGTAAAGCAGTGCTCACAGTAGCAATATTACAAGAGCTAAAAGGCAGCAACCCAAGTTCCACCAGCGGGACTAGCTAAGTGAAATGAGTAACATACGTGTAGTAGAGTATGACTCAGTCTTAAAAGGAATGGAAATGCTGACACATGCTACTAACTGGATACACTTTGAAGATGTGCAGAATGAAGTAAACCAATCAAAAAAAATACTGATTCCATTTCCATGAAGTATATAGAGTAATCAAAGTCATAAAGCTGGATGGCATCTGTTGGGACTGAAGGTGGCTCGTGGGAGTTTAACAGGTACAGAGGGTTTTTTTTTTTTTTTTTTTAACCTTTTTTGAGAAAGGGTCTCCCTGTAGCTCCAGATGGCCTGGAACTCACTATGTAGATCAGGCTGGCCTTGAACTCTGCCTCTGCCTCTGTCTCCTGAGTGCTGGGATTAAAGGTGTGCATCACTATGCCCAGCATAGGCACAGAGTTTTACAGGTACAGTTTTCATTCTGTTGTTTACTTCAGATAGTCTTATTATGTTTTCCAGCAGGAATTTATTATATATCCCAGGCTGGTCTCCAAATTGCAATCCTTTGCTCCTGCCTTTTGAGTGCTAGGATTACAGGTGAGAGCCACCAGGCCCAGCTAGAATAGTTTTACCTTTTTAATATGAAAACTACTGAAGCTAGATGGTGAGGATGATTCCACAGCAATGTGAATGTTATTGAACACCTCAGAACTGTATACTTAAGAAATAATAAACAAGTATATTTTACCATATATAAATGAAAGGTATAGTCTCTCTTCTGAATTTCACACAGGGGGCAATATATTTTTGAGGCAGGGTCTCATTATGTAGCTTAGGCTGGCCTTGAATTTGTGATCTTCCTGCTTCAGTCTCCTGACTGTTGAAAGTAAAGGCATGTGCCACCATACCTGCTGAAAATTAATTTTATTCATGTTTCTAGATGTATTACCCACTGTAGTGGAAAGATTAAAATAGTTCTGTGTTTTAAAAAAGTTAGATTTGTATGCATTTACCTAGAGTACTATCTATACTTTAGTTACTATAAGATTTTTATCAGCATAAATATCTGACAGGAAGACAGGTTGCCTTTTAAAACTTCTGGAATAATGTGCTTACTTTTAAACTAAAAATCCAGTGAAGAGTCAGGCATAGTGACACATGCTTTTAAGCCCAGCATTCAGAAGGCAGAGGCAGG